TACCTGTAACTATAAGTGATGCAGAGGATAGTCTTACTATTTCAGACGAATTTTCTATTGTCCCTACAGAATATGATAATAATGGAAAAGAACTATCCCTATTTATTCTCGAAACACAATGGCAATATCAAGCTGGATGGGAACCCTTAGTAAAGGGGAAATTCAAGGCAACTCAAAATGAAAAAACTATTACCATCCCCCTATCAGTTCACAAATCCCAGTGCAATGTCTTTACTATAGAAAAGGAGCAAGACTTGCGAAGCGCCTTAACAACAAGTGAGAATAATGAAATATTTAAAAAAAAGTGAGTTATGAAGAGCTTGAAAAATGTTATTTAACGCTCTTAAGTCTAAAGAGGATCTTAATGAATTGTGTGGGAAATTATTAGTACACTATAATAAATTAAATGGGAAATATCTTCTACACGGCTAAACGTCTATTCACCTCTGCTTTATTTTTTTCATCTCTCTTAGCTTCTTTTTCATAAAATGCATTCAGATCCTCTCTGCTAATATTTAAACCTTCAGAACCCTCTAGGCTTATAGACGTTGGCTGATTCTGGATAATAGATAGTTCAGAGAATCTAACGGATTTGGACTTGGGTTTCTTTCCTCCAGCCTTTTTTACTTTACTTCCAGAAATAACATTGCATTCTACTGAAACCTCTGGTACATCCTGTTTATCTATAACATTTGTACTTGAATAAGAAAGCGGGACTGCTAAATAGTTCTATTCGATCCTCCCTATCTCCTGCCCTCTTCAAATCTGATATAAACGAGAAGTTGATACATGGAATTTCTTTCTTAATTGATTCAGAGGCTTGGACTTCATATCTCGGTATTGCATGATATCTTCATAATCTGCAGAAGATAATTTTGTAGCATTGGAGCGCATATACTTTCTAGGTGGTGGATTGATTATAGTATTGATAGTCAATCAGATTTTCATACTATTAATAAAAAATGTGTACACAAAATATTAATACTATGCGTAGTATGCAGAGTATCGGAAGCATCAATGGTATGCACACTATGGGCTCTATCTGTGATATTAGTAAAAAATATGTGTAAATTATTGAATCTATGCGAAGTATCAGTAATACGCAAAGTATCAGAAGTATTAGAAGCATCAGTACTATACATAGTATGGGTACTATCCATCCTTCAAAAATAAATTTCACTTGGAAAATTTGTTACAATGGCTTAGCTGAAAAATTCATCCATTCGTTCGCTAGGAAGTTTGATATATAAATTATATATGCGTTCAATTTCTTTATCCCAATCATTATTTTGATTAGTCAAGCTAACATCAGGAGGATACTTCTGTTCTCGCCAGATTTGATATATTTTCTGTGATGATATTTTGTATTTTTTAGCTAAAACTGATGATATATTCTTTTTACCTTTAGCATCTATAATATCACAGTATGCTTCAGGTGAAAGAGGAGTTGCATCAGATCTTAAATATCTACGCATAGTTCTTTTTATCAGTATTGGTTATATTTAATTATTTTAATTTTTACTGTACTAGCAACTAAGCCGAAAAAAAGGCTATGACTAATGTGTATACCTTGAAAGATATTAATAATAAAGGTTATCAGCTTGGTAGTGCGTATGAGCAAGAGCTCGAAAAAAAATTGTATACCACTCTTAGTTCTAAAGCTGAAATTAATGATCTTTGTGAAAAGTTGTTGGCTAAAAATTCAGAGTATTCGGAGCGAGAGGAGGAGTTCCAGCGAATTTATGCTGATATGAGAAATAAAGCTAGTCAGTTAAATGTGTCTAGTACTGAACTTAGATCCAAATTTATTTCTGAATGGAGGTCCTGTATTGAACTCGAAGTCAAAGTCAAATTGCTCAAATCAAATATTAAAACGCTAAAGAGAGAGGCAACTTTGGCCCAGAAAGCTTTGTCCACTGACAAGGTCCAGATTCTTTCTCTTGAAACTAAAATACGTGAATTGGAAGGTGAGTTGAATAACTTGAAACTAGAGCAAGCATTATATGATTCTCTCAAGCTTGAATTGGAGTGAGCGAATGAAGACCTTAATTCAAAAAAACATGAAATAAATTGTATGAAAAAAGGGATAGAAGCGACACATGAGATAATCAGTCAAGAAATAGATGCTTCAAGAAAGGCGCGATTAAATTCAATAGAGAAAAATCTTTTATTGAAAAGGATAATCTCAAAAAAAGATAATGAAATAGTAGATCTTTCTAATCCTTCACTTCTGACTATGAACGATTCATCACAAAAGCTACCAGGCTGGCTTAGTGCCGATTTAAGATCCCTCGTTTATGAGCTTGGTCTCGAAGATAAAGTTATGGAATTCGATAAAAGTTTTGCCAGAGAACATATATTAGAGACTTTGCAAGAGCTATTA